ATGATTAGGCCTAATATAAAAGGATTTTGTTGAAAATGTAGTTGCTGACACTGTGCTAGATTAGGTACAGCTGTATAAATGGCTTTATTTAATGAAATTGATGTTATAATTATTTACTAAACTAATTTACAAAGGATAATGAAAGAAAGAAATGAAGAGAAAATAAGTAAATTGGACTGTGAGTGGAAAATGAATGATAAAAAATTGGTATTTTGTCTTTTGGCTTAACCACCAGTGGGCTGTCCAGAAAACACTGAGCAAAAAGCTTGCAGGCTGCCAGCTTTGCCATCAGCAGGCCAGCAGTGGCCTGCTGTCCTCTTGCTGTCTGGGGTAATACAAAGAAGGATTTACTAGCACACAAGGGAAAATGCTCGAAAAACATTAGAGCAAAAAAAGCTACCCCTTTGAATGAGCTAGCATTTTTAGCAAACGTTAATGAAACAGTACAGATAAGTGTGCATGTATGAGTGCACTGTTTATCTTAATAAATATCTTTATATTTAATCACAGAATGTTTTAATAACAAATGCAAGCACTGTACAGAAAAAGCACTTTTCAGAAAAAGAAAAAGTGTCCTAGCTAGCCGACTTATCTTAATGTTAATTATTACAATGTCCATTAGAGAATATAGTGACCTTAGTAAGTTATTGCCTACTTTAAACAAAACAGGTATGCCAGCTAACAGTTTGACACTGAGCTGTAAGAGTGGCCTTCCACAAAATTTGATACAAAACTTTTCCAGCCTTAGTAATGAAATGTAACAAATACCACCCTTCAGATGATCATGTCTGAATTACACATTTCTCAGTAACAAGTTCCATCTCTTAACTTAATAATTCTGACTAATTTACTGTCATCGCCACTCTCACTTTGTGTGTTGTGAGAAGTTTTGTCTAAGTTTTTCTTTTGCTTGACAGAGGAAATAGTGCTGAAAGACGATTGTGATTGGCTAAGAGGTGTGCCGATCATTACTTTGCAATGCAGGAGCCATGTTTAAAGTCATTGCAAAATATTTGATTATATGATTATATAATAAGGCGTTGTAATGGGATAATAAGGCAGTAATTGGCGTGCTGGGCAAGATAATTGCTAAAGAACTAGAGAGGACTAATTCAATTTTAAACAGCTTGCTAAATAATATTAAATGATATATACATCTAATATTTTACTCCATTTTGCTGTTAAAATTATGGATTTGTACAGGGCATTAATGAGCCATTAGACTACAGTACAGTAAATTTTCCACTGCTTCCTCAGAGAGTGACATACTGTCTGAGGAAAATTCTCAGCATTTTTGTGTAGTGAAAGTGTCTTGATTGTTCAGATGAGTGCTAAAATTCCAGAGTGACTGGGCAGAAATGACAGAAAACACTGCATCATTTTTATATAAAGCATATTTTATATATAAAGCACATGAATGTGTTGGAGTTTTACTGTTAGCATTATTAGCACACAGTTTGCCATGAACCCACACCAAAAGGAATTTTCAAAATGAGAGATGAAACAGTTTTCAAAAAATATAGAAGTTTCCAGTATTATACTGTTTAATATGTGTTTTTCATTAAAGATTTTCATTAAATAAATTAAAGTTCTATAAGCTAAAAATTAGAAAGTAGGTTTAAGCTGTAGCAGACCATTCATGTATGTGTGCAGTCATAGGTGTGTGGATATTGAATATTTTACAGTGGCTTCAAACATGACATGACAATCATATGTTAGGTCATGATCCATTTTATAAAATAAATAATTCATTAAACAGTTCATGATATTTCACCATATGAGATTTTACCATTTCTTGAAGCAATAAGCAGTAAGAGTCTGTGTGTTACAGTGACTTTACTACAGTTAATAGGTGTTGTTATGCTATTTAGGGCTCTGATTTAGGGCTCTGTACAAATGTGCATTCTGACTAATTTTGATATTCAAGTATCTGAAAGAGTTAATAATTGGAAGGAAGGGAAAAACCTGAAAAACAGCTACAAATTTGAAAAGAAATTAAATTAGCGAAGGTACAAATATTTTGCAGCAAGCAGAGGAATACAATTGAAAACAAGTTTTATTATTCATAAAAAGCTGAGGGAAATTGGTAGTGTTTATGTTAGATGAAACAGAGGCTGCCTCTTCAGATGGATTCTAATGAGGACTCGTCATCTTCTATGTGAGTTATTTTTTTCTCCTGGATGTGCAAACTTGTTTCTGGACATCAGCTAGACTAACCGACCTGGTTAGCAAAAAATGCTCGCTACATCCGCCTTCTCAAATATGTCTTTATATTCTTGGCAACATGCTCACTGGAAGGCACTTGTGTTTTGAGTGGCAAAGTGCAACATACATACTTACTAACAAATATGAGCAAACCACACCATTTTACACTTCTATTGAAACACAAAAGCAGCATTTCATTGAATTGTTAGTTTATATATTGTTAATGTATAGTTTAGAGGAGCTCACTCTTTGGTGGTGTGGGAGGTCACAGATAGGTGGTGCTAAACAAACTTATTAGGAAGGCTGGCTCTGTTGTAGGAGTCAAGCTGGACTCTCTGGAGGTTGTGGCAGAACAAAGGACGCTCAACAAGCTGTTAGCCATCTTGGATAAAACCTCACACCCCCTGCATGCTACACTGGATAAACAGAGAAGCACATTCAGTGCAGACTGTTACAGCAGTGCTGTGTTAAAAAGCGCCGTGTGAGATCTTTCTTACCCACTGCTATAAGGCTCTACAATGAGTCTCCTTACTGCAGAGATGGTACTGATCTCTTGGTGTCTGAACTGAACTAAACCACATCACTATATCACCTCTCCTGTTAATACACACTGTGCAATATATCATAACCTGCTGCTGTAACAACTCTTTCACTATGCACTTTACATTGTAATATAGCTGTAACTTTTTGTCTAGTTTTGTCTATTCTCATTGTGTTTTTAGTTTACCTCATACCACTCAGTGCATGCTATCATGTACATACAACAAATCTGTCTCATATGATATGTAAATATGCAAGTAGATATAATTTGTTTCTACTCTTATACTTAACTTATGTCTGTTTTTATTTCTATTTTTTATTTTCTGCATAGTAGATGTAAGTTTATGTGAAATTACACATCTCGCTACTGAAACACTGCAATTTCCCTTCAGGATCAATAAAGTTCTATCTATACATCTATCTCTCTAATATAAAGAGGGGAAAAATCAGAGCCAGGAAAAATCTCAGAAAAACTGAGCATGGTAATGGCTTAGCAACAGCTCAGAGCTACACTCACCGTAGAACATGTCTGATTTCGGCTTTCACTCCAACACCAGCCACTCAACTTCGCACTCTCAGATATCCTCTAAATGGCTGTCATTTTAGCTTCGGCTAGCTGAAATGGTGTGTGGCACATTTGGCCTGCTGACTAAGCTATTGTTAGTTTAGCCAGAACCCTAGAATCCCAAACACCACAGCATTCTGTCACTCCAGCACCAGACATTAGTTTCTATCATCAATATTTGTGTCAGCAAAGCATCAGTTAGTCAAGATGAAACCTGTACTGTGGTGTGTGGGACTGTTTGGGGCTGTAGCTTGCTTGCTACACTTCTCGCTACACTGTTAGCCAGTCAGGCTACGGATCTAAACCGCATGGAAAAGGCTTAATGTTGTCTCTCTTTAGCACCAGTTGCTTGACTTCACTCCCCCCAGATTTGAATCATTATCAACCATTATCCAACCTTGGATTGATGCTTTATTTAGCCAGAATCAAACATGTTCTGTGGTATATAGAGCTGTTATCATGCTAGCTAAGCTAATGGTAACCAGCTCCGCTTTCCTAGTTAGCTGTACTGTTTAACATACAGCAATCATTAGACATATTGTTTGACATTTATTGCATGATGGCTTGAAAATCGTGCACTGTGTTCACTTATTTAGTGACCATGTAAGCGGACTAACCTTGTTGATTATTTTCAAGTTTGAAATAACAGAGGATAAGACAGCCTAAAAGCCCCTGGGAATCCTGTATACTGCAGTAATATTTTGAAACGGTTTGAAGATATGAAACAACAGGAAAGCACCCAACCCTAACCCCAAAAGTAAATTCAGTATTTGAATACTGTTCACTTTCTTTGACTTGTTTGTGAGTGCAGTACTGAGATTTGGCCCAGATATGGCTGTATACCTCACACACTGAGCTGTGTGTGAGTGCGTAAAGGCATCAGGTGTACAGTTTGCAGATGCATGAGACCGTCACTGTCAAGTGGTCTGTCTCACACTGCTCTTAAACCACGCTTGCACACAAGCGCACACTCCTCCCGAGGAGACTGTCCTAATCCCTCCCTTCTATAAATATTTTCACTTCCGTCTCACCCACGTATGGATCAAGTGTCAGCGCTGACCTCAGGTTTAACCCACATTAATGAAAATCTGCTCTCCGTCAACCACTTCGCCATCCACATTTTTCCTTGAACTGCCATGTCGGAATGACAGGCACATCAGTACACATCTGTGTTACAGCTCCACCCTCAGGTTAGTGAGCACAGTGTGGTGTGTGTGTGAGGGTGTATGTTTCCCTGTGTGCAACGTCAGAAACACTGCATTATTTAACTCCAAAGATTTCAGTCTTATTACATCTTAATACTTGTTATTCAGTAACTACAGGGACTACAATGCAAACTGGCAGAGTTATTTCAAGATTAAAAAGTGTGTAATAAAAGTTTGGACCCACTAGCAGGTCGTGACCATTTAAGGGATTAAACCACCACTGTTATGAACCATTCTGACTGTAAGCTTCTTGACAATAACGGATTTCGCATCAAACCACTCTGAATGACTTTGTTTACATCTTACCCATTTAATTATATAGATTTTTGAATAATTGTAAAAATCTTTACCAACATTGCGCTTTCTGTTTAAACATATTTTGTCTCCTATTGTGTCAAATATCTATTAAAAGTTGTACTTTGAATTTGTTGTCCTGTCCACCTCTTATGAGAGTGCGTTGATAAAGAAAGTTCTTGTCTCCACAGCTTTCTCTCCTGGCTGAGGTGGGCTTTGGAGCTTCTCTTCTCTATGTGGACCCCTGTGATGTCCCCACAGAGCAGAATGCATGGCAGAAAGCCTTTGGGGTGACATTAAACCCAGGAGGAGACCCTTCCACCCCAGACTACCCAAGCACGGGTGAGTACAGACCCCATCAGTGAGAAGCGCCAGACCCGGTTAACCCCACCACATTTTTTTCTGACAAAAAAAAAAAAACTCTTCTTAAGACTTTATTATATGCCTCAGTTCCCTTCCCAGTTCTCTGCTTTAGTCAGCCAGGCAAACTGTGCACAATCTGAAAGTCTAATGCAGTCACAGTCCTCCGAGGTATCAGACTGCTTGATTAGACAAGTGTAAAGAGGAGGGGGAGAGAGGGAGAGAGAGAGTGAGGCAGAGAGAGAGATGACAGAAGGAGACAGACAGTAAAACAGAGAGAGAGAGAGAGAGAGAGAGAGAGAGAGAGAGAAGAGAAAGGTACAGTCAAGTCTTTGCTTGTTTGCGTTTTTGGCCTGAAGTAGGGGTGCTCAATATGTAAAAAACTGAATCCTTAAAGATTTTTTTTAAAATATGGTCTTATGCAAAAGTTTGGGTGCCCCTGGTCAAATGACATGTTATGTTGATTTTCTGAGTGCAAATAAATTAATGCATCCTCTACAGGGTACACACCTCTGCAGAATTTTAAGCACAATTACTGCTTATTTACTGAAATGAATGTAAGGTAAAAATTAAAAATAAAATGTGGCCAGTTGTGGAAATTTTTATATTTTGAATTTTACTTTTTTCTATATGTTAAATTCAGCAAATAAATATAAATTCCACATTAAAATTTGTCATACTTAAGGACGTTCTCCCTGTAGATGTGTTAACATATTTTCCCTTAGAAAATCAACAAATTGTAATGTGAGCGAGGATGTTCAAAGTTTTGCATATGACTGTACATGATACATATCACAATATTCTTTTTTTTTTTTGAGGGACAGCAGTTGGAACAGACCCAATGCACCAGTATTATAGTCACACTTTTTAAAAAGTGATCAAAAAAGAAATAAAAGATATTTTTTTCACACGTTGTGCATCACTACTTCCACTTAACTTCTTAAGACCAATGCAAACAAGTGTCTGTTTCTGCTGTTTAATCTACTCTTCTCTGTGATTTCTCAATGCTGTAGCTGCATTTATTTGATACGTAAAGAATGTGATCTAACAAAGCCAAAGATTCATAGATTTTCATTTATTTTATGTCATCAACTACAAGAAAAATGCATGAACAGAAATATAAGTCACATGTAAGGTGTTTTATCATCATTTATCGATTAAATAAATCAATGACCAATGCTTATCATTCTGAATTGTGCTCTGAATGAGCTTGTGCAGTCAATCTGGAAAAAAAAAATCACAGTTCATCCGTTACAAAAAGCCTTGTGCATCTTTTGTATAGTGGTAGAAAACCCGGTCCCAAACGGAAAGCTCAGATTCTGCACACTGATACTTATTGCTATGCCCAACATGGACATGCACGTGCCGTAGCTCCTCTGGCAGCAGAGTTTAATGAGTTTTTAAAGGGGCCATTGACATTTGTTTTGAAGTTTTGCTCTCAGCATGTAGGACTTACACTCATGATCACCTAAGAACATGATAAGGCCTTGGCCAAACCACTTGGTAGGTCCATCCAAACCTCTTTATAATGAAACATGTATAGTATAGTGAAAATACTGACAATATCTATGATTGTGGTGTATTTTCTCATGATAACAATTTATCTTCAAATCACCCGTCCCCAGCCTGAAGTCTATATTTCCATGAAATATACAGTCTCCTGCCTAGTAATAAAGCTGCACTGAAGCATCAGTAATTACCTTTCCTGGTGATTTTTAATATCCACATTCAACAAATCTCATTTTCTAGCATGCACATCTAGCAAAGTCTCATCTCTTGAAGAAGGCAATGACTGCTCTTCGAAACATAAGCCAGCCATAAGTCATATGACGGCTGATAAAATCTTCCTCGGCTCAAAGTTGAGCTTACTCCATTATGAATTCCTCTAAATAGCTCTCACTCCCGTACTTATGTTCTCGCTGAGGGGTGTTAGTTACACGCGTCTGAAGCTTACCCTTATTTAGAACTGTGATTTCTCCTAAGTAGATTTGGAGTTAGCATCTTGTGTCAGCAACAAATGTGCTGTCTTTATCAGAGTGTTCTCTCCACTGTAATCCAATTGTACAGTTCACTTGGCAGTTTTCAGAGGTTTGTTACTGTGGCGTGTTCTTGCCTGTGTTGCTATTTGTACACTGACCTGATCTCAGGTTTGTTGCTCTCAGGTGGCTACTCTGCAGGTGGTGCATCATTATTTTCAAATCTGATTTTGTGCTGTTTCATTAGCCGTGGTAATGATGTTGCTTTTAATACGCAGAGTTGGAGAGAAATCACAGCACAACCTCCAAGCCTGCTTATGCTTTTGATAAAGGATATTTTGGTTCTGGATACTTAAAATGCACTATATTTTAGACATGAGACTATCTTTTGAATTTGGCTTATATTTGTAACTTGTTCAAGTGGTTTTATGGTGATCTGTGCCTGATCCATCGTACTTTCCTTGTTAAGCTGAGTAGGGGCCCAAGCATTGTGCTGTCCAAGGTCCTGAAAACAGATCAGCTGTGTGCTTTTTTTTAGTTCTGTTGCATTTGACAGAACTGCTGCCAGTCTAGTGCCAAAATTCCATTGTCTGTTGAAACTATTCAGGTTTGCTGTAATAAAAAAGGGACAAGTCTGCTGTTATTGTTGACATTTGTACATACGTATTACTCATGATGTTTTGACAAATGAAGCTTGCGAGTCAGAATGAGCTTTTGCAAAGCCAGTGTAGAAATTTCAGAAACAGCTAAACATGTTTATCGTATTTACATTGATCTTGAAACCATATAATCCCGAATACCAATTTAGACTCATTATCCACATCTTAGATGTCAAGTTTCACTGTTTTAGAACAAATTTCCTTTTCTCAGTAGTGGCTTCTTGATGTCCTTTCAGACCCATAACATTGAATTGTCTTCGTATAGTGGAAGGATAGACAGAACCACATTTTTTTCAGATCTGAAGTGAGAGTTAAGCCTGATTTTCTCCTTTCTCTCAGAAAAGAAGGCTTTAAGTACTGCTTATCTGATAGTGACAGTTTTGGTGAGCTGCCAGGTCTTGCACAGTCCCATTTTCTCTATGTCTTGTATTTATTTTTAAAACTCCAGTTTTGGAAACTCCTGTTTTTTCACTTATTGTACTAGTTCTAAAAAAGCAACAATTTCTCATTAGGTTGAATGAAATATGCCAGCATTTTATAAAGCTTGTACAACCTCACAACAGTTACTACAAATGAACTCGTATATGTGATCGTAGATCGTAGGTCAGTTAAATCAAATGTATTTTTCTTTTGGTGTCTCCTTGAAATTTTTTTGTGATTCATAATCTACTTCACTATATAGCCTTCAGTAATTTATAGTCTACAGTACCCGTGTGGAGCTGTGAAAGTCACTCTGGTGTACGCACCGCTGCTGCTGTCCACGGTTCTGAAGGTCAGCTTACTGTATTTAACACGGTCGCCCATGACAGTAGACCTCAGAGGTGCCCTGACTGACCCTGGCACGCTGCAGCGCGGGATCACTGGGACGTGTCATTACTGGAATGCAGGCTTACAGTGGGCTATGGAGTCCGGTGCACGGTGGAGGCTGCAAACAGATGTCTTAGCAGATGTTCCGTGCCTGCTCCCTCTCCAGTAAAAGCCCTGTGTCAGGCGTTTGGAGAGAGAGAGCCCGGTGCACTCACCGAAAGCTGAATGGCCATCCAGGGGAGCATGAATTATTCAACCTGCTGGAATATTGTCTTCACGTTTGTTTTGCATGACAATAAGAGCAACTTTGGGCAATCTGGGTTGTGAGCCGAGGCGCAGAGCAGCAGAGGTCAAAGCTGTGTCGTGTGGTGATTTCTTTACAAACCACAGTGTGGATTAGATTCTCTCATATTGCATAAATAAGTTAAAACATGAGCCATGCTCGAGACTGGAGACATTAGTGTTTCTATGCTCAATTTTTTTGCTCCATATGAGTTAAAGTGTGTCCTTAAAATAGATGGGGAAACTACATTATCATTAAAATATTATATATATAAATATACAAATGTATGTATATATATATATATACAAATAAGGTTTTCAAAATCTATGATCATCTTGAATATGGCTAGATTTTATCAAAGCTTTTAAATGCTTATTTCAGCTATTACAACTGTACTGGTGTAGTTGTACTGGTTGTGCCATCTGACTTTTCAAATTAATTTCAAATGAAACTGGCATTTACTTAGATACCTGTAGAAACCATTGTCCATGAATCTGAGTTAGTTATTACATTTTTAAAATAAATAAACGATAGTATAATGATTACACATTTTTCATGCTTTTCCTGAGGTGGTACCACCTCACAAGGTGAATGGAACTATTCTAACCATAAAATATTTGAAAGGGCTACTGACCTTGGCATTGCACCATGAAGGTCACTTGGGGTCTTCTTACTGATGCAGTAACCTGGCCCCTCTTTCTTAAAAGGTTGTCAAAATAAAAGTCCTTCGCTTTTGGTTGTGCCGCCTAACATATAAGAACTTGCAGGCAAAAGGTTTTCAGTGAGTAGAGTACTTTTAAAGTTGCCGTATTTTGCAACTTGGTTTTCACACATAAAATCATGCCAAACTAGGGCTGGTTGATATGGCCAAAAATGTTCACAATAAAAATTTTCGTCTCAGTCAATATCAATAATTGTCTTAATAAGTGTCATTATTTCTTTCCAATTTAAAGGCTGATTTTTGCTCCTGAGTGAAAGTTGAAGAAACCAGTTTGTTAACTGTGGTTTTAAGCTATTCTTTATGGTCAGAACATGACAAACTCTTGCCAAACAGAGGAACACTTTGCAAATCTGTCATGGGACAGTGGTTACAGGTGCTAAATGAATGTTTCATAATAGAAGTATGGTTGAATAATTTGATATATGTCATGTATTTATTAAATTATTTTTTGGGAAATAATGGAATTTGCCACGAAAAATGCACTCCTGTCAATGTTTGGATTCAACACTGTTTGGACTCACTTAATATCATATTTT